CTAAGTCTCTGCAAACTTTTATTAAAATTAATTTGTTTAAAAAATTAACAAGATGGATTGACATAATTCCTGTACTGATGGGCTGGGGCAAATCAGAGGTTGGGAACGGTGCGGGATAGGCACAGATCTCACGTTTACGGTGACTGTGAGTCGTAGTTGACCAAGTGGCACCTAAGAACAACAACTACGAGTCATTTCAAGAAAGAACGATGAAACAGGCTGCCTCCATAGAGGTCTGCTGACTTGGAATTCCTATGAAGCAGTTCTACTCTGGCACGTGTGGTCTGTAGGAGTTGGAATTCATGAAATAGCAGTGGGTTCTCCTATAAGTTGGTTCACACAGTGGCTAGCTTAAAAAAAAAGTGTGACATTTACTTAATAAAAGTTCAGACAAATCTCGTTAAGTTGAACAAAATATTTATCAAACTCAGTTATGACACTCTTTATTCATGGACGATATATCGACTTTCCGTGGGAAACACAGCTAATTACAGAGAAGCCGGAGTCTTCTGATGTGGCGAGCGTGCTGAAGGGGTCCGTTCTCATTATTTCTTCCTTGCTTTATTTCATGGACTCAGACGACCAGCAGATTTCAAACGAGGAAGTTAGAGACTTGGCAGCAGCTCTTTGGATTTCAGGAGCCCCCAAGTGTCAAAAGCCACGGGAGTGAGCCGCGCTGGCAGCCTGGCAGAGTTGATTTCTTCCCTCCTGTGTTAGAGACCTGCTTTCGGTTTCCAGTTTTATCTGTTTGTCAGCGGTGGCTTGCACACACTACTATCATACTGAACTGGTTTCAGCCACGCCTGCAGACCGAGATAGTCTAGGGATCTGCTTCCAAAAACCAGCCCAAGAAACCCTGAGCATCACATAGTCTGACCCAGAACTGATGATGAGAATGACACGGGATCGTGATCCATTCCAGAACTGGTTGTGGGGATGGCAGAGGGCAGTGGTTCATTGGCCCATAACAACAAGTGAGTCAACAAAGGAGAAATTTGAAAATGTCTGGGTAGAATTGATGCTAACCATGCCCCTGACAGACACCTGTGCAAGCGCTTATCCTAAACCCAACTCCTATGAACAATGATTGTTAAAGACTCTAGTGCACTTGGATTTTTTAAAGCGCTGCCATCCACCCAGGGAGCTCTGGTGGCCTTGTAGGTAAGACTTTGTGCTGCCAACCCAAAGGCAGGCGGTTTGAATCCACCCGCTGCTCTGCAGGAGAAAGATGGAAAATCTTCTCCCGATTTATACCTTCTAAAATGTACCTGAGGATCAACTATGAGTCTGGTCCTACTTGAAGGCAGAGAGTGAATGGGGGACCCAGCTAACTCCTGCTAGGCTCTGAACAGTGACTGTGCAAAGGCCAGTTTCTTGGCTTAAAATCAGCTATGGGTCTGGTCCTACTTGAAGGCAGTGAGTGAATGAGGGGCCCAGCTAGCTCCCGCTAGGCTCTTACCAGTGACTGACTAAATGTGCAAAGGCCTGTTTCTTGACTCAAGATGAGATCCCTGCTGTGTCACAGTTCATGTTCCAGAACTCCCTATGGGATTAGGCAACCCCTGGCCTCCAACGCCTTGCTTAGATCCACATTTTGACCTATCCTCCTCATTTTTTCCTGAAAACAGCCAAGAAACCAAGAGTCTGCATCTAAGGCGCCCAACTAAAGACCCACGTATTATTGCCCATTGGGAAATGCAATCAGTTGATTCATAGAATTGGAGGCAAGAGAGGCTCTGTCCATGTTAGAAGAATGTTTGCTTCAAGAGGAAACAAAGAATGGCTTGAGATGTCAGAGGAAGGATATACTTACGTCAGAACAATATGGCAGGAGGCAGAGGACATTTCCAGCAAGTCGGAGTGGTGCCATTTGAATTCTTCCTTTGAAAAAAGCAGTAGTAATAATCATATCAGTTGTGAGACCTAAAAAGAGGATTTATGCAAACGTACACCTGGCTCATGGTCTGACACCTACCTTTGGTTACTGAGTCAGTTACTACTTATGGTCATTGTACAGGGCAGAGTAGACCTGTCCCATAGGGTTTCTGTGGCTGAAATTTTTTTCTGGAAGCTGGATGCCACCTCTTCCACTCACACAACTGCTTCTGGAAATCAGGAGAATGTTTAGCCACTGTGAAACATATTAAAAAAAAAAAAAGCAGCAACCCACACAAAGTCTTCAAGAAGCCCAATACTGTTAAGGCTGTTCCAACAAGTGGCTCTTCCTTGACTGCCGAAGGGTATCAATCTCAAGGAGAACAGATTACTTCATCTTTTTTATTCTGAGGAGAAACTGGTGGAGTCGAACCACTGACGTTTTAGTTAGCAGCCCAACACATAACCTACCATGGCACCACTTAATAGTTTCTCAGTGTGTCTCCACAAACTTACTAGTTACTGCAGCTTGCTCCTGTGAGAGGGTGTCATTCAGACTCTGACAACCGTCAGGTCCAAAGCACAGATGCTGTGGAAAATAAAACATCTTCCTGTCTCTTAACCTTGATTCTTGAAATGTCTCGCAAGTAACAAGGTTTCAGGGAAGGTTCTGGGAGGAAAGCAGCAAAGTCACTACCCTCTGTGTGGTCACAGGGTACATACAGAGGGAAACGGCTGTAGGCAGGAGCTTGTGGAAAGTTCCCCCTGTACATAATGGAGTGAAGAATTTCCAGAAGGTGCTGTGATATTTCAGGAACTTCCCAGAAAAACTTGTGAGCTGAACCTGGATTTTTCATTTCATTTGGTAACTGTACTCACAACTACCGAAGCAATAGTTTTCTCACTGCCCCTTCCCTCTTAACTCTTAAGGCATTCTGATTGCTAAACCTTTCTCCCCTTTACACATTTCATGTAAATGGGACCATATACTGTTTATCCTTCTATACCTAATGTATTTCACGTAATGTTTTCAAGACTGACCCCTGTTAGAGCGTGTATCAGGATTCCATTTTCCTTTTGGCTGATACTCCATTGTATATATGTACCACATGTTCCTTATCCTCTCATCCTTGTTATTTTAATTTTTATTTTGCTTACAGCATTTGTATGCATTGCTTCACATTATTCATTCACATTATGTTTCATACAATCATGCCCATTCCTTATGTTTTATAAAATTAATCACCATTGGACTATACCTACAATTACCCTCTTTTCAGTTCCCTGTCAGATCTTTCCCATTTCCTGTAACCCCTCCCTTCACCCATCAAATTGTACAACTCTGATTTCACCCCAACTCATCCTTACCTCTCTGCTTCCACCCTTATCTCCTTGGATTCCATACATGTTTTACTATTTATCCTTCTATTTTTACAATAATGGTCTTACACCGTATTTGTCCTTATGAGACTGAGTTAATTCAGCCCTTCAGTCTTTCCAAGTTATGTAGTGTTTTTCAAAATCATTACTCCTGAGTGCTGCATAGTATTCCATTGTGTGAATGTACCACAATTTCTCAATCCATTAAATTGTGCTTAGACATTTGGGCTGTTTCCATGTTCTCACGATGATGAACGTTGATTCATCTTTTGATGAACACTTAGTTTGCCTCTACCTTTGGCTGCTATGACTAGTGCTTCAGTGAATATTGATGAACAAGGACCTGAGTTCCAGTGACCCAGGTCTCTTGGGTATGTACCTGTATATTATAGTATAGTTCTCTGCAGGGCCTTGAAGTAGCTTATTCTGGCTCAAGCTCTTTGAGAATTTCCATTTCCAATGGCAGCTATAGGGAGCTCTGGTGGCCTAGTGGTAAGAAGCTGCTATGCAGTCCTAAAGGCACGCTGTTCAAATCCTCCAGCTGATCTGTGGGAGGCTGGACGATCCCTTCCAGTGTGGTTCACTGATTCTGAGAACATCCTGCTGGAGGGTCAGCTGTGAGTCAGTTCCAAGTAAACAGCACACAGCAACAACAACCACAGCCCAGCTGTACCAAATCACAGTCTTATGTGTACATAAGAGTCACCTGGGGAATTTTGTCAAACTGCAGATTCTAATTGTTAATTTGGGACTGGAATGCAAATTCTCAGCAGGGGGGTGGCATCGGGACGTGCTAGTTTCAGTCTGTAGCTTTAATTTACGTTTAACTTTTTGGAGAACATGCGAAGCTGTTTTCCACAAGGTCTCTACTACTTTGCATCCCCACAAGCCGTGTGCGATGCGAGGGTTCCAATTTCTCTACATAACTAATGCAAGTCAGAAAGCATGTCCAGGGGGTTTTCGGAGGCTGGGAGCCCCATGGGAGGGGGTTTGCCCATCTTTCTTCCTGAGGAGCAGTTGAGGGATTTGAATCACCACCTTCCAGTTAGCAAAGCAACTCCCTACCCTCTAGGCCAACCCATCATGTAGTTTTGGTTGGGAAAATTTTCCAGAATCTTTTCGTGGAGAGAGCATTTTCCGGGAGTTTCCAGGTAAAGTTCATGTGTCAAGGAAGAAAGGCAACACAAAGCTCCCCTGCACACCACGGAGGAGAGAAGAGGGTACTGTGATAGGCTTGGTCCTTGTAGGTGAGGCTTGGCCTGTGCGCAGGCCTTCTGGGGCAGGTCATGGAGCTGGACTGCCCGCTGCCTGCTTATATATGTTAGTTAGGGCCAGCTTTTGAGGAAATGTGGTAGGTTTGGTTAAAGGAATATAAGAAGGAGAGACTTGAGGGCTGCGTGGCCGGCTGGGCAAGGAGCCAGGGGCCTGCAATGGGCCTGTGCCGTTTCTCTCACCATCTGGTGCCTGTTCTTTGCGATCAGCCCATCAGCACAGTTTATTGTGAATCAGATTCCTACGAAAATCACCTGTGGAAACTTCTACTAAAGCATGTGGGACCCGCTGGGCTACCACATAGCACAAGCTGGGAGCATCTTGTCTGAGGGCTGGGTCTGATTCCATCATCCAGCAAATACCACCACCACCAAGACCAGTAACAACTAAGCAGAGGAGATTGGGGAAGGGGCACCGCCGTCTGGGAGCCTCTGCTGACTTCTCTTCTCCCCCCCCTTATCCCTGTCATGCAGCAATGGAACGGCAGGGACACAGCCCTCATGGTCACGCGCGTGGTCAACCACAGGCGCTTCTCAGCCACAGTGAGCGTGGCCGACACTGCCCAGCGAAGCGTCAGCAAGTACCGCTGCGTGATCCGCTCTGATGGGGGCTCCGGGGTGTCCAACTACGCTGAGCTGATCGTCAAAGGTGAGTAGTTCACAGCCCATCTTTTCTGTTTGATGTTAGGAGAACTGACTTGCTTCTCTTCAGAAGGGCTGTGCAAGATTCAGAGGATTTAGGACCCTTTTCTTCTACCAGGATGAGGCACCTTCCAACTAAAAACCGCCCTTCCTCAACAAAAGGGGCAAAGCTATTATAAAAGCATGTACTATTGGTATTGTCTCCAGTGGTGAAAAATTCTCAATTTAACACAGGTTCTTTAAATGGGCCTTTAATTGCTGTGAATGTTCCATAGTGTGGTGTGTTGAAGGCACATATATTTATTTTCTGTTTGAAGTTAAGAATGTATAGTCCTTAATCTTTAGGGAAGCAAGCATGCCCTCTTGCTCCTCAGAGCAATCAGAGGGTTCAAATTACCAACTTTTCAAGTTAGTGTCCAAGATTAAATCCTTACAGGGTTGCTACGCGTCGAGTTCGACTCAAAGCAATGGGTTTGGTTTGGACTTAATGCAGTCCTTGGAGATTACGACTGTTTTTGAGGAACTGTTAATTGAAAACACAATATGACAGTATTCCCAAAAGACTTCTGAAATAAATAATCCCCCACTCCATTGCTCCTAATTCAGTTCTTTTCCATTTCCTTGTTCTTGTTCACTTTGAGGTAGCATTTATTTACGAGCTTTCCATTAAAGTGATTTCCTTTTCTATTGCTTTTACGAAACTTGAGGCTCTATTTTTGAAACACATGTAAACTTATTATCATGCTTTAATGGTGGTGTACCGACTTATCAAATGAATGATCCTATTTTTTTTAAATTGCTCTATCGGCATCATTTATGTGATCCCAGGTGTTTCTGCTTGTTTTTCTTTCCATGGTGCAACAATTAACACCTCAGTGCAGTTCCTTAGACAGAGAACATTTCTTCTTCTCTTTGACCAGAATGTTTCCTTAAGATAAAGCCTTTGGTGGGAGAGTTGCTAGGCCAAAGGATATGAGAATCTTTATGACATTTTTCCCCCTTGGTGTTGCAATATTGCTTTTGCAAAAATGAAGAAATAAAAACCCCAAACAGCCAACCAGCCCAAGACAGCTTGGCACTTTACCTCAGCAGTGTATTACAGAGCAGCGTATGGATGTGCTATTTTTCACTGTGTTATGCGCACCAGTTAAGATTTCAATATAGCATAATTTAGTGAAAGGAACAATAAAACTGCTTCTAGTATGCCAGGTGTGAGAACGCGACATGGAGTGTCGTGTTGAAGGTACAGAGACCGACCCTCAAACATCTCCTGAATGGGGTTTTCAAGGTGAAAGTCAGGGCTGCTGTGATGTCCTTGACAAAGTTTTTATTGGTCTCTACGTAACCTGTGGTGTTGAAGAAGAGCACTGAACATCCCATGGATGGCCCAAAGAACAAGCAGACGTGTTGCAGAGAATGCAGCTGGAGTGCTCTTTGGAGGCAAGAAGGATGAGGCCTCGCCTCACATACTTTGGGCATGTTGCTAGGAGGGGCTATTCCTTGGAGAAGCATGTTTTGCTGGGATGGGTGGAAGATCAGCGAAGGAGAGGAAGACTCTTAACCAGGTGGATTGACGCAGTGACAGCTGCAGTGAGCATTTGTGTGTCAGGAAGTGTGAGGATTGCGCAGAAGAGAACAGGGTTTAGATCTTTTATTTATAGGATCACTGTGAGTCTTGCTCAGCTCGACAGCATCTGACAACACCACCACAATGTAGCCTACCCAGGAATGAAGTTGCCCTCTTGAATTCTGTACCCTAAGTTATCCTAACTCCAGACACGTAGTAGGGGAACTCTGATGACATAGTCTTTTGGGAGTTGTGTTGCTAACTCAATTGCAACAACTCTGGCAGTTCAAATCCACCAGTGGTTGCTGAGATGGCCTGTCACTGCCCACAGCCTCTGAAACCCAGTGGAGCGTCACCTGAGTTGGTTCCGATTTGACAACAGCGAGTCTTTTGAGAAGCCCATTTTTACTTGACTGGCAATTTGTAATTATTCGAGTGATACCCTAAATGTCAGCTTGTCATCATCTCTGTTAAGACTTTCATGAGTCCCAGTCGCCTCCCTCCACCTTGAACTTCACCCTCCTTCAGACTACTCTCAGATTACCTTACTTCCTCTTTTTCTTATGCCTTGTCACCTTTCAAAACCAGTTTTCCTTTATTTGTTTACTGGATTCCTTTCCTTGGGATGGCTCCATGAGGGTGGGATGGCAGCGTGGGCTGAGAGGGTGCTCAGTCCCTCACCCCCACAGTAGTTGTGGCACAAAGGCTGAGTCGGCAGAACCCTTTGAAACGGCGTTGGGCTGCTTCTGACCTGCGCTATCAGTCATTTACTTTATAAGGTTCACCCTTAAAATATGTGTGGGATGATGGATGAGCCAATGAAGCACTGGCCTCAGCATAAATTCAGTCTGTCACTATAATCCCATGAAAAATTAGCTGAGGATCAACAAATGAGGCCGTCATGTAAAGGAAAAAGGGGAAAAAAGATCTACTATAGGAATAGAATTACATTTAAAATCATTCCCATTGAGTGCCATTAATATATAAAATAAACTATCAGTTTGATCATACTGGGCTGTGTTTGCTTTTTTGGCTACCATAAGATCGATTTTTCTTCTACTTACTTACATGATTGGCAAAGTGGCCTTTCAGACATTCAATGCAAATATAATTTTCTGAGCTGTCCTCTCTGGGAGCCTCATTATATATTCGATGGTGGCCAGCTCTGTAGTGGAAGCTGTGAGGGTAACCTTACCCTCACCCATGGCTTCCTCTCTTTCCACTCTGGTTGTGACCTTTGTTCCTTCCTCTACCTAAAACTTAAATGGTGGGGGAAGGGATTGTGTACCAATGAAGGAGTTTGTCAGGGAGAGGGGAGAACTGGGGGTGGGGGTGGGGAGAAAAGTGCAACAATGAATGGAATTCCAAAATCTCTGTAGATGTTCATTGAAATTAATAATAATAAAAGAAAAAAAATTTAAATGCAAACTTGGCCCCTCCCCTTCTGCTTCCTTCCTTTCTCTGCTCACCACCTTTCTTACTGGCCTGGTCGTCTTTTCCTTCTCTTTCTGACCTGTAAGCCTGGGGGTTGTTGTTAAGGAACATTGAGTCACAAACAACTCATTACTGACCCTCCATTAGTTTCCAGAGGCAGTAAGTTGTGAGGGAGGGAGGGAGGTTGTCCATCTTTCTCCCATGAAGCTCCTGATGGTTTTGAACCACATGCCTTTGGATTGGGAGTGCAGCTCCTTACCACTAAGCCACCAAATCCCCCTGTAACCCCTGAGAAGAAAGAATTAGAGAGGATGGACGATGGTTTTGCCTGTTCAGCCTGATCTTGGCAGCACCTCGGATGTGTTTGGCACCACTTTGGTGATAAGAAACCATTAGGAATGGCAGTGGGAGCTGGTAGAGCCCTCCGAGCCTTTCCCAGACAGACAAATGGAACCTGGAAAGGCTTGGGTTTACTCTTGCTTTATGTCCTCCATTCAGTGGGTAATGGGGACAAGTAAGAGAAGCCAAATCCAAAGACTGTTGAAACAGAAAATAGTTTCTGTAGTGAAGTTTCTGTCTTTGGCATTTCAGCCTTGGCTGCCTGGACAGCGGGACAGGAGTTAACAGGGAAGGAACCCATGTTGTCTTTGGCCCTAGCGACACTGTCCCTAAAGCCTTTCGCTGCCTCTTAGCCGCTCTCATGTCAGGGCTCCTGGGATTGTACCACTGTTCTTTCATGGTGATGCATAGCCCAGTTTATCTTCCCTTGCTGAAGTTCCTTCCCATTTCTTAGAAGGGGTTAACACTCGGTGAGCATGCATTCTCTCTCAACCATTACATCTCCTTCTCTTGATATTCATTGGGTGGAGAGCTGGAAGGGAGGCTCATGGCACAGAAGTCCCTTCTCATCTGTCATCTCATTTACTCCTAATTGCAGCTCTGCTCTTTGGTTTTCTTTTACTCATTTCATGGCTGAGAGAGCAGGTATAGTTGGGTTGAGCAACATAGGGCCTTCCTGAGGGAGCTCATGCTAGTCTGGTCCTGGCTAGAAGATGTAGGGGCTGTGGCCTTGTTGGCCACTGGCTTATTGATTTCATGGTCTCTGCATGTTGAGTTCATACAGCAGGTGAGGCCGACGATGGTGTGGTGCGTGGAAGGTGTGCTGTGAACCTGTCATTGTAAGCTACGCCTCTCTGAGATGATTTTTGGAGAAAGGGAGGGATTTGTCTTACTGCCTCTAGTCCTAAAGAAGTTCCTGTGTTTAAGAACAAGTATGAAGGCAAGGAAGAGAGAAAAGCCCTGAGGAAGTATTCAGGATTCCATTTGAAAGCAGTAAAACCACAGCACTTGAGTAAAACTGTCTTGAAAAGAGGGGCTCATCTGCCTCTTAAAGACCCCTTGTCTTTGCTGAGCCAATGTCCCTAAATGCTTTACAATGGAAGCATTTGGACATGTTAAAAATTATCCAAGGGGGAAAAAAAATTATCCAAGGGGGAAATAATAATCTTGCTCCTCTCAGAAGAGAGAGACTCTGGAAAAGCAAGCACAATGTCATTCTCAGGGGTGAAATGCTCTCCTAGGACCTCCTGTTGGGGCTGAATTTCTTCTCCCTGAGCTACAATGAATTTCACCATCACAGGAGTCGTGTGAACCAAGAAGCCAGAAGCCACAGGCTGACATTGAGGTGTCATAGAAAGGGGGTGGGGAATCCCTGGGGAGTTTTCTTCCTCACTGGTTCTCTCCATGTAGGTTTCATTTGTTGGCTAAACTGTGGTGCTGGAGAAGAGTGTTGAATATACCGTGGACTGCTGGGAGAACAAATATTTGTCCTGGAGAGGGTGAAGCCTGGCTACTTCTTGGAGACAAGGATTCTGAAGCTTCGTCTGGCATACTTTGGGCACGTTGCAAGGAGGGACCGGTCCTTGGAGAGGGACGTCATGTTTGGGAGAGTGGAGGGACAGCGCAGGAGAGGAAGACCCTCGATGAGATGGATCGATTCAGTGGTT